ACTCCATGCATGATACACGATTAGGCGATCATGTATCTTTCAAGACATGACACGTGGCATTTTTTATCATTAGTCTTACTTTGTTTTTAATTATAATCAACTCAATATCTATGCTGATGACACAGCCATTTACTCCTGTCTTGATAGTAAATCTGATCAATTCGTTAAGGTCAATATAAAAAACAACCTTCAGGCTGTTGTTAATTGGGAAAAGTATGACTTGTTAATTTTAACGCCTCCAGAACTAGATTGCCCTCTGTTAATCATTTGGGATACCCCTTTCTGGGTTCAATCAGTATGACTGATGCTAACCTCCAGGAGAGTGACTCGTTGCTCAGGCTGACATGAAGTAGAAAGATTTTATTGAATCCATTGCTAGGTCAGCTGGTAAGAAAGTGGGTTCACTGTGTCGTGCTAGTAAAATTTTCTCTCCAGAATCTATCTTACATATCTGTAAGTCAACCATTCGTCCAGGCTTAGAATGTTGCTGTCACTATGGTCAGGTGCTCCTGCTATTTATCTAGCGCTCGTTGATAAAATCAAAAAAAGAATCTGCAATATTATTGGTCCTGATCTGGCGTCTCGGCTTCAGTCACTTTCCCACCACCGTAAAGTTGCTTCCCGGTGCTTTTTTTTAATATAAATATTTTCATGATAACTATTCAAATGAACTCTTCGCTATGGTACCTAATTTTTTTAAAAATTTTAGCACAGTACTAGAAAAAATCCTCGTTACATTATTTATTTTGCATACCTGGCATACTTAATTTAATGAATTTTCTTTAACATTACATAATTTTTTTTCCTTAAAATCAATTCCGTTATATTTCACTTACCAATAGCCTATTTTGTTTACTATAACACATTAAAAATAAATGTTAAACCTGATTTCAGTTCTTTTATTTTAATCTAAACATAACCACTCATATCTGGACTTTGTAACCAGTTCCTCATATCCGGAAGGCCTTCTTAGGCTGGTTGTCAGGGATTCTACTGTAGCTAAATTCTATGGAACTAAATTGCTGTCACTTGATCTAATGCAGAAGCCGCCAGATATTTTAGATGATGGTGGTGGGGGTAAATAAAGTAAATAATGATGATAATAATAAGTAAAAAAAAGAGGACGAAAGAAAGAATGAGAGAGAAAAAAGATTTATGATGATAATGATGATAGAAGAAGAAAAAGAAGAAGAAAAAGTTGAACGAAAGAGAATGCCAAGAAAAAAGAAGTGGAAATTGTTTTAAAGGAAGTAAAAAGTAATAATAATGATGGTGATGATTATAGAAGAAAAAAAAAGAAAAGAAAAAAACGAAAGAAAAACGAATGGTAAAAATCTATAAGAGAAAGTAAATAATAATAATAATAATAATAATAATAATAAGAAGAAGAAGAAGAAGAAGAAGAAGAAAAAGAAAATCAGACCAGTAGTAGATAGGTTTGCCTATTGCCCGGTTCGCACTCCTTACCCAACTTATGAACAAGAATAGAGGCTTATCCCTTCTTTACTGTTTAGGATTGAGTTTCTGGTTTTTTTTCCCCCCAAATAGGTCTCATTTTCTTTCACTCCCAGTGCTGCCCCCTGTGTCTTAGTGGTATTATCGCCTTGCTTGTGTTGAAGTTAAAAAAAGAAAAAAGAAGTAGTAAATTAGAAGAATGAGAGAAGAAAGAGAATAAGAAAAGAAAATGAACGGGAAACCTTTTAAAGAGAATAATAATGATGATGATGATGAAGAATGGGGAGCGAAAGAGAAGAGAAGGAAGAAGAAAAAAGAATTAAAAATTACTTAAAGAAAGTAAAAGGAAGGAAAGAAGAAAGAAAATATTTTAAGGAATGTGAAGATAAATAATAATAATAATAATAATAATAATAATAATAATAATAATAATAATGTTATAGAAGAAGAAAAGGGAAGAGGGAGGAGGAACAAATCAACTTTGAAGAGAGTAAAACTGGCATCGTAACTCACAATCATATGTCGAAAAAACATGAATTATATTTTAAAAAGATAGTGTTGATAATAGTTATCATGATAAAAAAGAGGAAGTAGAACGAATGGGAAGAAATGGAAGAGGAGAAAGAAGATGAAGAAGAAGAATGAGATTGAAATGATGAGAGAGCGTACAGTAGTGGAGACAAGGTAAGCTGAAACGAGAGAGGGGAGGTAACTCTATTCAGTAAGATAAAAAGCAACACAGAATGGACGAGGGTGAATGTCAGCTTGTGTACGTGCGTGTCCTCGAGGTATGAGACGGTGGTAATCAATTTTTTTTTTTTCAGTACGGGTGGCGGTGGGTTGATGAGGACTGGTTGGGGTCAGGGAACGAGGAAGCTGGACAAAAAATGAAGTAGGTGGTTTTGGCAAAGTAAATTAAACTTATTAACGTCAGCAGAAATTCGAACGAAGAGAAAAATAAAAACGTTTAAAAAAGAAGAAAAAACGTAGACAGTTTATAATGGAATTATTAAAGACACATAAACAAACAGTCACGCACACACACACACACATATATATATATATATATATATATATATATATATATATATATATATATATATATATATGTGTGTGTGTGTGTGTGTGTGTAAATGGTAGCCGGAGGTTGTGGGTGGCAGAAATAAGTTTCTGTCCCCAAATATGGGGAAATGGGAAAGGTAGTGAAATAAAGTATTAAAACTTTGCATGATTTGCAATTTTGCACTGTCAACTATATATATATATATATATATATATATATATATTAGTTGACAGTGCAAAATTTTATATATATATATATATATATATATACACGCACACATGTAGTTGACAGTGCAAATTATATATATATATATATATATATATATATATATATATACACATATAGTTGACAGTGCAAAAAATATATATATATATATATATATATATATATATATATATATATATATATATACACGTGTATATTACCGTAATCCCCATGAAAAGATATATTCTATTTTTCTCCAAAATTTCAACTGATTTTAAATATGTGTACCTTCGGATTCTAAATGTGTGTGTCCTATTTGTTCCCACTGTCACGAGGCTAAGTGTGTGTTGTTAATGGGCATAGTAAGATTGTATTGCACCATTATTCCTACTGGGGATCTTCTTCTGTCTGCTTAACTTGAAAATCAACGTTCAAAATCCTGGCAAATTGTTGGTGACTGAGAGAAATGCTGCTTAAATTCTGTTCGTCATAAGTCATATATACATATTATAAAGGTAAAAGACGATAGGAAAACTGTAATATTAGCCGACGCGTTTCCTCCAATGTAGACATTTTTAAGGCAAAAACGAAATGAATTTATTAAAACAAAGTAACTATTAACTATATAATAAATTCATTTCGTTTTTGCCTTGAAAAAATCCACATTGAACGAAACGAGTCGGTTAATATTACAGTTTTCCTATTGTCTTTTACCTTTATAAACATTGTCTTTTTCTACAGGTTAACTCTGAAAAATATTTAGTGTGTGTGTTAGATCCGACGTGCTTTAGACTGACTCGGCCACGAAAGGTATTGCCAGTCAAGCAAGGGTTACTAGTGCTTTATAAGTGAAAATTCTGCCCAGATTCTTGAAAGTTCAGATCTGTTCAGCTCCGTATCCGGACGTAAACAAAGCATAAAAACTAAAGAAATGATAGATTTTTTTATTTATTAATCTGGCAGATTTTATCACATTAAACGTCATTTTTAGTAGATGCCCGTATTTGAATAGACGCCCGTTTCTTTTTTTTATTTTTTTAAACAGTATATTTATTTTTGTCTGCCGGCCTGAATATTCGAGAAATCTTATTAAAGAAAAAGATGCGCCCTCCGGCAGGATACGAACCTGTGTCTCCCGTTGCAGAAGAAAACGTCGTTAGATCCGACGTGCTCTATACCGCCTCGCGCATCTTTTTCTTTAATAAGTACATGCACATACACACACAAATATATATATATAATTTTTTCATATAGACAAAAACAATTTAATCACTACAAAGATGCCACTTCGTTTCGGTGCATTTAGTTGCACTTCGACTGTTGAGAACCAAAATGGTTGCATCTTTGTCGTGAGTAAATTGTTTTTGTCTATATGAAAAAATTATAATAAATAATTGTTGCTCTACTATCGGTATTGAGCTCTCTTTTGAATTAATGCTGTGAACGTTAGAATTTATATATTATTTTCGATCTTATTACATTCGGGGATATATATATATATATATATATATATATATATATATAAGGGTGAATTAATGAAATAGATATAAAAGATAGATACAAGGGTAGATTTCTAATCCACATAGAATATATAAGGGGGACAAAAGTTACTTTACCGTAAATATATAAATTTAAAAAAGTAAAAAAAATTAAAAGAACAGCAAAATTAATAGAAATTCTTTTTTGTGTTATGTTTCTTCGGTACGTGGATGTGACTGCTCTCCACAACTTTCTATATATTTTAGCTTTTAGCAATGTTTGCCTTTTTACCACCCCTTCCTCTACTTTCCATTTATACAAGCTCATTTGGTAGGTTAATCAATGTTTCCCTCTATCCATGTTGTTTTCAATATGTCATATGTGTGTCAGATTCTCCAAGCCCTCTTTCTTTATTCTTTCTCCAAAATTTCTGCTGATTTTAAATATGTGTATCTTCAGATTCTAAATGTGTGCGTCCTATTTGTTCCCATTTTTCATAAAATGTCCTCGTTGCTTAGGTTTTCTGCCCATCATTCTGTAGAACTACATAATCTGTTGCCTTGGGCTTCATATTTTTTGAAACTTCCCCGGTATGAGGCCACGTAAGGTAAAAACAGTGGACAAATGAACATAATCAATATTTAAAAGAATTTAATATAACTTATTTATAATTTAATGTAACGTATAGAATATCACGGAAAGCATAACATGCAAAATAATAAAATAATGTACTTAGGTAAAAGCGATATCGTCTTAATTAAATATACATTTTTTATGGCCTATATCTTTTCAGGGGGATTACGGTCATATCACGTTGAAACACCGGTTCCCTTACGATCACCGAAGTTAAGCAACGTTGAGTCTAGTCACTGCCAAGATGGGTGACCGCATTGGAATACTAGGTGCTCTAAGCTTGGATGTGCGGGTGGTGTAATGGATAATGGCTCAGAATTGTTAATCGGAGAGCTGAGTTCAAATACCCGTTTTGTTTGTTATAATTCTCATGCGCAAATACCCCGAGGAAAGGTAGGAATCCACCTCTTCTTCTCCAACTATGGGTTAATTAATACGATTTGTATCCCTAAACCACTATTATCTAAAAAGATTCTTATAATAAAATATTTTCTAGTTTTAAAAAACCTGTAAAGGGTTGGTAAGCTATAGAAAATGAATCAATCAATCATGTTTTAAATTTTTTTCTATGTTTAGGACCATTTTCTTGATTTCTGGTTACGTGCCATGGGTGATACACGTTTAGGCGATCATGTATCTTTCGATACATGACTGACGAGGCAAATTTTTTCCCGCAGTAGGTTGCCAATTCTTTCTGTGGTAGACCAGTTACCATCCAAGGCTATAGAACCCGGTCTGTCCTACTATTTACCCATAGATTGGGAGGGGGAGTGAAGAAGAAAATTCATACCTTTCTCAAGGGTATTAGCACGTAAGTGAATGTAATGGATTCGACCGGAATTCGAAGGCAGCTGCCCCGATTCCACAATCCGAGCCACTATCCATTACTCCACCGCACCTCCTCTGGTACTTATTTAAATATAAATTTTCTGATGTTCGAGTTCTTTCCGTTTACATAACGGTGGAGTAATGGATAGCGGCTCAGATTGAGGAACCGGAGAGCCGAGTTCGAATACCACCGAATCCGTAACATTCATTTACGTGCTAATACCATTGGGGAAAGGTATGAATTTTCTTCTTCCCCGCTAGATATGGGTAAATAGCAGGACCGACCGGGTTCTGTAGTTTTGGATGGCAACTGTTCTATTGCAAAAAGAAATGGCAACCTACTGCGGGAAAAATCTGCCTCGTCAGTCATGTATCAAAAAATACATGATCACCTAAGCGTGTATTACGTATAGGACATAATTGAAACCATTATCAATGTGTTTTAGTTATCATCGTATTAACATTCGATAGTAAAATCGTTGTAATTTATCGGAAGAATTATCCAATTTAATGAGCGAAATATATTCACCAATCGATTTCAAGACTAACAAAAGGAATTGTCACCCATCTTCTTCAGGGCACAGGCAATTATGGCTCTTCAAAAGTTTCTGTTTTTTGTGGCCCTTAGCAGCATTTCTCCTTTTGGTAAGCCTGCCGAGCCGCCATTCATTCATATTAGCTCGTCAGGTAGAGGGTCGGCGGCTTTCCTCTATTTCTCTTGCCCTCGATAGGCCTTGTGAGGGTTAAGTTCTCCGAATCCTCCTTCCTCATTATGTGTCCAAGAAAGTTCAGCTGATCCTGAGTATAAGCGTTCTTTTCGTTGCCATTATCACGCATACCCGTTACAAAATGTAGTTTCTCATCTGAGCTAATTAAATTGTACCCGAAGTAGACATTGAGAGCGAATTTAATAATGAAAATCGTACTTGGTTTCCGAATCTAGAAATGATTTCATTTCGATAGGACAACCGCTTAAAGATTGGCGCTACGAAATCTTACAAAATTCCTTATTAATGTGCTTCTAAAATGTAGCTTATTAAATCGATTTTGTCCAATATTTGTCCGAGAGAATCTTATAATTCTGTTTGCCCCCGCCCTTTGTTAGCACGATCGTTACCCCCTGCCAATACCTCATAAATAAGGGACTATTTCGTTTTGATCGCGTCGAAAGACGGGGAGAGACACTATTTGGTCTCAGTTTATTTAGATTATAAATCGATTTTGCTTAATGATTGAAAGAATAAGAAAAAAAAGGGTTAACTGTTTTTATGCATCAGCTAATAATTTGTTTTAATAAGTCGTAAATATAAGGGGTTCGTGGTTAGATCCACTTTTCGGTATTTGACCAAGAATCAGTATTTAAAAAAAATTTCTTTCGTGGTCGCGCTGAGAACTTTTCAACATCCCTTGGTAACTAGTGAAAATTAAAAACGCTAGAAACGATGACAGCACTAAAATATAAGCAAAATAAAAAAAAAAAAATATCAATGTATGTCCCATGTTTATTTGGACAACAAACTAAGAGACGCTTATAAAAATACGTTTCCATTAAGTTCGAGGAGAGGTGAGATGAGATGCTTCTCACTATACGATATTCAAAGTATGCGTTCGAATAATCAACAGATGTCGCTAACATCAAATCCCGGATAAATAGCTGTTTGGCGGAGACGCAGTGAAAACACACTATATAGCTTTGCAAGCGATATATTGGTTGCAATTAGATGTTCAGCGTTTCCAATATCGGAATAATAGTGCATTTTATGATAAAAAAACATTGTTTTTTCTTCGTGGGGATGGGTGGGGTCATTTGACTGAAAGAAAACCGATAGCAAAAAAGAAAATATCTGTACACATGTGAAATAAAACTTTAACACAATCTTTTCAGCACTATATATATATATATATATATATATATATATATATATATATATATATATATATATATATATGTGTGTGTGTGTGTGTGTGTAATGTTTATTTGGACAGCAACCTTTCTTTCAAACAGATTTTGTTGAATAAGACAGACAAGGAAAATACGATTAAAGAAAGTAGATATCACTATTTTCAGGGCATCTAAAACATAGATATCCCAAAAAATAACACTATTTACATTATTCGGACTATTGTCCTCATCTTTGTCGCCATATTTATTACAACGTTTCGGCCGTTGTACACTACGGCCTTCTTCAGGTGGTTGGAATGTCGAAGTGAACCCTTTATTTTGCTCACTGCGGCAAAGATGAGGACATTAGTCCGAATAATGTAAATAGTGTACATAATACCTCATCTCAGAAATATAGACAGATACCAAAAAATAATGTTTGGTGTAGTAGAGAACATATATATCTATCTATCAATATATATATATATATATATATATATATATATATATATATATATATATATAGTTGGATTGGAGTGAGTTTGTGACCCTGGGTTTCACGCTATTTGCGATCGTCAGACAAACTGATTAATTTTTAAATTTTGGATTTATATATGGTTACGTATATCGGTGTTTTTATGGACGTGGGAGGAAAAATTGTCGTTGGAACGCCACTCATACGTATACAAATATACATACACACACTTTCACTCATTGACGTACGCAGACATACATACACGCACACTCACTCACTGGAGCTCACATAAACATATATGGACCAATCCAACTAAATATGTTAGCTCTATCACTGATATTGAGTGCTTTCCAATAAATACCGCGCATATATATATATATATATAAGGGTGTGCAGCTTATATTTTATATCATAAAGAAACAATTTATACAAATAATTAAATAGCAATGTTAATGTGATTAATGGCGAAATCACTTCGCTAACAAGACTTAATGAGACATTAACTTACTATCAATCCATTGAATGATAAGATCCTTATATTCGAGTTGGATTATACTTAGGTCCATTTCGCTTTAACTGATTCGTGGAGTTATAACTTTTCAAAATAAAAACAAAATTCTCATTTGATCGATTTGAACAAGAACCCTAGCATTGCAGCATGGCACGCTCCAAAACATATATTCAGCTGTCAATAAATAGCATAATTAAAAAACACCTTTCAGTCTACACATATTTCTTCTAAGTATTTGCCTATGTATGGGAAAACTGCGCTCTGAAGATGACAATTTGAAATTGTTGAAAGTACTCGGCATTTGTCTTCCATCTGACTTTATGATATATATATATCATTACTAAATAAATGTATATATCATTATTATTAAACTAGTTATAATAAGGGTCAGTATTTATTGACACCCAACACAGATTTTCACAATTTTTTAATCACTCCTTGGAATCTTACCGAAAGTCCTGATGAGTAGATCAACAAATCAGATAGTGGTTTGTTCAACAAAGGGGGATGCAAGTTCAAACCCTACTGAAAGGCACATTTTCTTTATTGAGCTTGTTGAGTACACAGGTCAGTAGACATAATTTACACTTTTTATTAGAACAGGACGTCTATTCGAACATGGGTACCCACAAAGTAATTTGGAGTAGTAGGGAATACAGTAGTGGAAAGTGAAGTCAACACCCAGTGGCGTGCTGTCTCTTTCATACTTAAATGCAATCGTCAGTCGTTTAACTATAAAACAGACTGTCGCCGCTGGGTGTTGACTTGAATGTCCACTTTTATATTTACATATGCTCTATCCCTGATATTGAGCACTTTAACTCATAAATATAGCATATACCGTAAAACTATATTTTTATCATATATGCTAGCACAAAGTCACAAGTCATCGTGGCCGAGATCTTGAGCGTCCTGGCCTTGTTCAAATCGTTGATCAAGCTAGGTAACATACTCTTTCCCAGAAACTGTAACTAAAGTCTGCTCAGCATAGTTGCAGTATGAGCCACAGGTGGGGTCTGTGGTTGTTGAAGAAACACAAATGCGTCTGAGCAAGCGTCTGCAATAGGGATTGTCTAGCCGCCCTAGTAGACGGGTATCCTCGAATACGAGTGGCCAGCTATACAGTGTGTGTGTGTGTGTGTGTGCCTTCAAATAAAAAGGAGATACCTAAGGTTTAAAATACATTTTTAAAAATAAAAAAAATCTTTCTTGTAGCTTTTATTTTGGATTTGATTCCTGGAAAATACATTAAATTTAATATTTCCAATAAGTAAAATAATTTGTTGCATTTCAAACCGAATTTAAATTGATCGAAATGATTTTTTTATTATCAGTAAAATCGCTGAAATCATCCGTATTGACAAATCTGTCAACACAACATAATTGTCTTTATTAAAAATTTCTTCAAAAATAAAATATACTTTTGTCAAATGTTATTTGAGAAAACAAATACTACTTACTTTTAATTTAAAACATCGCAGAAAAGCTTTTTTAGCACAGAGATTTATATTTGGTTAAAAATCTTGTTTTTCTGGAGTCAACGTACTTCCATAAATTAATATAGGAACTTTTACAATC